AGGGGGGGAGTGGGGGTGGAGGAGAAAAGGTTTTTGATGCAAAAAATTTTCCAGACCCCAACCTAATAGCATTCATGTTTTTCAGGTACCACCTTCTATCATTTAAAAAATCCTCCCAATCCTCCTTTTGACCTTTCAAGGTCCCCCCCTTTGTTTCAAAAAACAATTGGAGGGCCCCCCATTTTCTCCTCCACCCTCCCCTGCCCCCTTAGACCCCACCATTTTGTTTCAAATGACCCCCCTTCTACCTTGTATATTTTAGCTATCCCCCCTTTATCTGTAAACATTATGACAGCCCCCTCTTTTTTACCAGTCTTCCTAGACATAAATAATTCATGTCAGTGATGCAGAAAGTGGTGTACCTGAAGCTGAAGCTGTGCATCCAGCTCTTCCAACTTCTTCCTTTCATCAAGCTCTAACTGCAGCTCTACTAAGTCCCTTCGTAACTTTTCATTCTCTTGCCACATGGAATAAAGTTGAGACTGAGGTAAAAAAGGAAAGATCTAAAATTCTTCTCACATTGACTAATCTATACACGGAATTTGTTTCTACTCATGTCTACAAATCTCCAAAACTCTACCTGAGCATCTTTTTCTTGATGGCTGAAGGTACTTTTGAGCTGGAAAAAAAAGGGATGAATGAACAAATGGATGGAATAATGAATGAATAAAAATAACAGTAAAACATTTAAATTTTTGATTACCTTTGACTCTAAGAAGATCCATTCTTTTAGTCTTATGTACTCTAGTTCTAGCTGACGTTGAGATAACTCTCCTTGTCCGTACTGCATTTAACACAAAAATTATAACTGTTACAATGTAACTACACTATAACTGGGGCTACTAAAACACCAAGAATTAATTAAATTATGGAATGAAAACAATACATTCCAACTTTGGGTTGTGAAGCCAATCAGAAACTAGTAGAAAATAACATGGGTCCCAATATTTTACAAGTCTAATTAAGTTGGTAAATGTACTGCCATCAAAGCAAAGGGCATGTTGTAAAATTTCCACTAACCTCACACACTGACTAGGTATCATAACCAAGACCCTTTATTTGTATTTGAATACTAACCTCATGTTTCTGTTTGGTCATTTGGTCAATATGATGATGTGGTAACAAGGGAGCTGTATAACAGAAAACAGAGAGTGACTATCATTGACAATGAACATATTTGGTGCTACTTAAATACTCAAGTCATGACACAAACTATAAACTGTTGCAATACACAACATGTCAGCCTGATGTTGATTGGCTCATTAAGAAAGCAAGGTGCACCATGCATAAATTATATAAGGCCAAACAAAAAAAAAAGTGTGTTTTCTGTTGCATGACCAACCGCAATTTTCTTGCCAATTTTTGACGACCCTAATATTTTTTCATCCCCAAATGCACTACAGGCTTCCCAGTAAGCTCATTTCCACTGTTGTATCAGTAAAAAGAATCCGACCTACCAACCCCAATTATTTTTCTCACGCAACAGGAAACACACTTATTTTTTTGTTTGGCCTAATCACAAGACAGTGAGTGAGCAAAAAGAATGCAAGCAAAAGAGTAAGCAAGAAAGAAATTAAATGCAAGCAAGCAATTGTAAGAATGAAAATGAACAAACAAGAAAGGAAGCAAGAGATTAACAGATTTATAACATTCCCAAAACATATGCTAAATAATTAAGTTGCCTATGAATTTAAAGTGCACATGAACCCTTCGACAATACTTTCAGTACTGATTCTACATAAAGTAAATAGTTGAATGGTAAAATATTTCTTGATTTGTTGAGTGATGCGTTTCTAAGTTATGAAGGTTTATACTTCCAATATGCTAATGAGTGTGACGTCTATTAAGGCTTAATCAAATATACAAAATCGAACTGGTTCATAGATACAGTATTTAAGAAGCATCATTATTTTACTCATGGTTTACATGAAAGCTATTTACAATTTTTATTTTCAAAATGGCCAGCATTTAGTATTATTAGTTACAACAAAAACACTCAAATACCTTACCTGACGTCATCATCATTAACATATTGGAAGTATAAACCTTMATAACTTARAGACGCATCACTCAAATCAAGAAATATTTTACCAATCAACTATTTACTTTATGCAGAACCAGTACTGAATGTATTGTCAAAGGGTTCATTTGCACTTTAAAAAGGCCAAGGAAAGAATTTTAAACAAACAAACAAACAAACAAAATGACATGTAAAACAGGCAAACAAACAAACAAACAAACAAGTTACCAACCAGAACAGAATGTTACTGTAACAATATTTACCTTTGATTTTCATAGCCTTCTTAGACTTTTCCCGATTTTTGTCCAGACATTCAGAGATCTGTTTTGATGATAATCCCTTTGTATAATGAGGACCTGATTCTTCAATGGCTTTCTCAACATGCTCGGCTGTTTTACTCTTGGGTGGTAAGATAGGTGTTGGTTCTTGCATGCCTCCCCCTGGATGGCCAGGCAGTACACCCATGGATCCAAAGGCAGGAGTTGAGGTCATGACCTTACTGGATCCTTTGATACTGTGGGTGTTTTGGTAAGGTGCCGTTGTATTCAGCTGAGTGGAGTCATGTAGCGATGATGATGCTTTTGAGGGCTTTGGTGCAAAGGAAACTTTTCGATTGGTCTGTAGAGAAGAGCTTTTCTAAACCCCCAGAAAAATAGAATCAATTATTAAGGGGTGGACACATGATAGGCATTGCCTGCAACAATGTTTGCAACAGGGAAATTGAACACTACATGTGTCAACCAGTACATGCAATATTGACTTTTGTGACGTCGCTGGTGACAAATTTTATGTGATGTTGTGAGGAAAGTTGCTACATATGACATCTCCCTAATAACCCCATTCAGAGCAACATTGCAGGCAATGTCGACAATGTTGCATATTGTGTGTGTGACCCTTTAGTTACTTGTAATTTGTTGATTGAAACATGTAATGGTACATTATATATATTTTTTTGACAGATTGATGTTATACCAAGAATGATATTATATGACTTATTGCATTTTAGACTTATTTTACATATAGACCCCTTGCAGCACTTTGGAATACAGTTCAATCTGGGGGACAAAACAATAGGTTCCAATTCTCAGGAGATTGGAATTCTTTTGTTTTTCCCCCAGATTGAGCTACTTTGATGTTACATATGCAAGGGGTCTAAAATATGTACAACAAAGATCTAAATAAATATCTCAATCTTTTGTAAATCTTGTACAATATTTTTATTGAGATGGTACAATTCCAGAAAGCTCCCTTAAAAGATCCCCTTAATCCCAAAATGAATACTACCTAATCCCCCTCCATACATCCTGGAGGTTCAGAAAATACCTTTACTGGTGGCTTAGCTGCCACAGGTGTAGCCTTCTTATTCTCCATGTATCGTGAGGGAATGACACGACCTGTATAATGAAACAATTAATGATTCAAGTATATCTGAAGCATACAATGTTTTGTGAGACCCAGATACAGTACTTTGGTACAGGGGTGATCAATGCAACACTGATCTTTCCACTTAACCAACCATAATACGAAAATATCAATAAATATCAATAATTAATAATTTCACTGGCTATGATAGTGTGCCGTATGAAAATGAGAATGTTCAAATAATTCCAATGCATTCACATTTATGCACATGGTTTTTGCTTTTACACACTTTATTTGGTAAAACGAGCCATCTTCCATCAAAATGTGTTGGTTTAATGTATAAAAGCCGGTGAATAAAGGTAATGCAAATTCATACCATTTTCACCAGCCATACTTTTGCACATTGCACTATAACAGTTTTAACTAAAACATTAAAAAAACATATAAAAATAAAATAAAAATCCTAAATGACTACGTACTCGCTCTCTTTTTCTTTTTCTTCTTGTTTGGTTTGTCCTCTACAGCAATGGAGGAATCAGCTGATACAGCTAATAAAAAACAATGTACCCTGGCATTAATTGCAATTAGTGTTGGCCAACTAGGGAACAAAATTTCAGGAGACAGTGTAATCTTTGGAATTCTACAATTACATGTATGTATTTTATTTATTTAGAGGCTTTCATCAAGCTTGAGGTACTAACAATAAAGAGAAGAAAATGAAATACATACAGTAAGCAAACAAGCGTGATGAGGGGCAGGCAAACGAACTCAAGGTCATGGAGAGGTGTGCCCTCTTACCTGAGTAATCAAAGAGCTGCTGTCGAACATTTGATTGGTTTAGACCAGCTGATAGAGGGCCTCCCTGAACATTATCTATATCTCCCATAAAGCTGTTATATTGGTGATGGCTGTGAAGGGAGGACTGGTCTGCATTTTCTTTGTCATTCTCATCTAATGCGACTTTGACAGCTGTACTATTAGGATCTACTGGACTGCCTTCTATCAGACGGATATACTCAAGACTATCTGTAAGTTAGACAAACACAAAAAGCAAGTGTGAGCTCTACCGTATTTCATTATGACAAAAGGGTAAATTTTACACTGTGAAAAGATGAAAAAGGAGGAATGAATAGCGTCCGAAATGTCAGTTTTTTCATCTTTTCACTGTGTAAAATTTACCTGTTTATCATTAATGTCTCAATAGAAACACTGACACAGCTCACTTTTTAGCTAGTTATCTCTTCGTATTTCATCATGATGTGACATGAAAAAATACATATTGTGGCTGTAGAAGGGGGACAAAATAGCAATGACACAAAGAAGACTTCAAGATAACTTCACTTTTTTTAGAATTTAGAAATGCAATAATAGCCAAATACCATACATACTATTGTAATGATAAAAGGGTGAATTTTACACCAGGAAAAGAAGAAAAAAACTGACATGTTTTTACCCCGACGAAGGGCTAGCATCCGAAACATCAGCAAGTTTTTTCATCTTTTCACAGTGTAAAATTTTTCCCTTTTATCATTACTCTTCATTAGAAACACTGACTCAGCTCAAACTAGTTTTTAGCTAGTTATCTCTTCTTATACATACTATAGCAGGGCTTAAAATAATTGCTTGTCATGATCAATCACAAGCCAAACACTTAACAAATTTCTGATACTGTAATTATTTAGCAAGGGTATGTCCTCTCATTTACTGGGACATGATGTCAACAGTTGGTCAAAAGGTCATGTACAGCTGTACCCACAAGGGGTAGCCCAGTGGGTACATACTGTAACTAATTGACCAATTGTTGACAAATAAAAGGGCAAAAAATAAGAAACCATCCGAAATTAGTTTTTTTAAATAAAAAAACATGGAAATAACTTGAAAGAAAAATGGTTTCAAGAGCGTGCTGACTCTGTTTACGAATGATCCATAATTTGTTGATGTATTTCGTTTGTATTTACCACAGCTATTCACCAATCAGAAAGCAAGAAAATTGATATATTTTGTGGTAAAAAAAGATTTAATTACACTGGCATTCCACATTTTAAAATGTAAAAATAATACTCTCACAAACCTTCACTAAGGTTTCCTTCAGGTGCTCCAAATTGTTTTCTTTGAGCCTTGCCATCTTCTATCACCACTTTAGTAACACCAGGCACCTCTACCCTAGACGCTTCAGCAGCAAATCCTCTAACGACTTCACTATCATCAATTCTAGTTTTCGACCTCCTGGGAGAATGACAGACCACTTTAACGGGAGATTTGCTAATACTAGTTTCCACAGGAACCTCTGTCACTTTGGCTTCCCCAGTTTGATAAGATGTTTGATCTTTTATTGAGCTATTGCTGTCATCATTTTCTGATAATGACAATGACGATGATGGTTCTACTGCTTTTGGTGATAGAGCTGGGATATGGTGACCTGGTTCTATGTACTGGGATGGAGGATTGCTGTTGACAGATAGATACATTTCTTGAGATGAAAATATTACTTATTACTGATCATGGGTCAGGGGCTGATCGAAGAAATCAGAGAAAGAGTGGGACGGAAAACTTCAGCTTTAAAGGAACCTCTATAACTAACCAAAAAAGGAGGGCTGTGTGATGGTGATGATGATGACAATGCTAACAATAACATTGGACAATGTCTGGCCATATTTGGAACTTGTTGGGTCAAATATTTGCCTTAGTTGTTAATCATTTTGGCCGGTAACAAGCTAAAACTAGTTTGATCATGACTGGCAACAGACCAGCTGTAATTCTAAGACTTGCAATAATGATGGAGATGATGATGATGATGATGATGAAAGCAGTAAAATGGTGCAAATCATGACAATAGAGAGAAGGAAGAAGAGGAGAAGCAAGAGGAGGTTAAATATCCAACACTGTAACAATCCTTGTACTGTGTCATGTCTGTTCTAGGTGTCTATCAGAAAATTCGACTTACATTCTTGGGATTTCCTGTTCTGTTTCTCCATTCCTCACTGGCGTATTATCATGGCTTCTTCCCTGGTCTGTTATGGTACTCATTCTTTGTGGAGATCCTTTTTTAACAGAGAACAGAAAACGTTGTTTCATTTTGTTATTTTGTTATATTAATTCATAGAAAGAAATAATACATTGTAGTTTTCAATGCTGTTTTTTTAACAATTTCTTTGCAAAGTTTGCCGCATGTGCAGGTGGCATCAAACATACTCCATTCACTAATAAAGCATAATTCTTCACCAATCAGAGCATGTGTACTATGTAAGCTATATAATAATTAGCAATAAATTACAGTTTTCAACCAATAAAAGCGTGTATACCATCTAAGCTATATGATATGTAGCAATGAGCATTTTCATCAATTACTGTCCATTAACTTGTTCGTGTGAGGGGAGGGTGAGAAGACTGGTTGATAGAATCACAAGGTGTACAAAATATTTCTTAAGTTGTAACAAATATAAATCTATAATAATGTAAAGTCATCTACCTGTAATTGGCCATTGTTCAGCAGGGCTGTATCGTTTTGACACATCGTGAGACTCATGACTAAAATTAATAAAGAAATTCAATGCTATAGTAGTTAACTTTAATACTAAAGCAACTTCGTTTGAAATATTTACTTTTTTTAAACTTCTGCAATTCTTGTATTAATTTGAAAATACATCACCACGAACTGTTATAAAAGTGCTAAAATTCAATGCACTGTTTGCCATCAAATTGACAAAAATATTGTATAATACAATTACGATAAAAATAATGGCGGGAAATCTGAAAAATTCAAAACCGAACCTTGTTCCACGAAGGGGGCTCAACTCGGTCTCTAAACGCCCTTGAACCAGAGGTTTTCTGCAAGATAAACGCACAAATAGTAGTTAGAACTTAAGAGGAAAGACTTGGCTATAAATGTAGAGGTTTTTATGTCGTACCTGTGGAGTGGAGAAGGAGTTTGTGTTGGTGCAAGATGATAAAGACAACGTTTATCTGCCGCCATCTTGTTTGGATAGCGTTGGTTAGCTGCCAGTCTCTCCAGGAATGTGGGATACCACAGGAAACCCGCAATACCAGACCGGCGGTCTTTGCTTTATAAGTCTGCGTTTCGCCTGCGTAGCGGTCCTCACATTTTCCTCTGGATTTTATTCATTTATCTATTTATTCATTTATTTAATTTTTAGGATAGGAAAGGAAAGGAAAGGAAAGGAAAAAGAGCAAGCAAATGAAAAAGAGTTACCTTTTAAAAAGGTATGTGATGACACACTGTTAGGTATTTGATTTTTTCAATTTTTTATTGAATTTTTAAGCGCATAACTTATTGCTTCATGAATGCTGTTAATTTCTTTTTCTTTTTTTTTAATCGTGATTTTTGAAAATCAGTGCCAAGACTCTTGCAGCGAGAGAGAGAGAGCGTGTGATATTGACCAAGTGAACAGAAGGGAAGCTAGTAATTTGTTTTAATAAATATTTATCATATTTATTTAAGATGGACTGATTAGTCCGAAAACTTGGATCTCTATTACAATTTTAAGGTTGAGAAAGCGTTTTTGTATTTATAAAACGAATGATTCGAACCTACAAAAACAAGTTAGACTTAATCATTTAAGATAGTTTAAAGCACAAAAAGTTTTTGATTTTTTAATCGAGTTTCCGCGTGGAGATGAACCTTGTGTGATAAGCGTCACACTGAGTATGTTAGACTTGTATATTAGAGCAGTTTTCGCGTGACTGTGAAAAGCTCACGGCACGAACACGTCCTTGACACGGCTAGGGATACGCCAGACCAATCACATTGCTCGAGAATTCACTCTCCATCCAATAAAATACCCAAAACACGGCATAAACACGGCGCGGACACGGTCACGCGAAAGTCACGGCACTTTCAGACCAATCACATTGCGCGAGAAAAAAAATCAGCCAATCAAAATTATAGAAAACATCACGGTCACGGCACGGCACTGAGCTTTTCAGAGTCATACGAAAACTGCACTATAAATACCTGAATAAACAGTTCTCACTCTTTAATTCGTTCAATCCGCTATTTCCAAAGTAACTTCACTAACGCCATGCTCAGCGCTGTCGTGTCTTTCAGTATTAGATTGTTCCAGTTTCATCATCAAAGCTCGTCTAAACTTCGCTTCATAGGCCAAGTGGTCTTTCAACAGGCGAATAACCCGACGATGACTTTTAGCCACTGACCAATAATAATGCAGACACACCATGAATATAATCAGAACTGGCAGGATGAAAGCAGCGGTACTCATGTAGTACACAGCTTGGTCGATCAACAATGGCCATGAAGAGATTTCAAAGGATAGTTTGTCGAATATGCTGGTTGACACATCACAGGCAACGTTGTTGAATGGGCCACATGTGGAGGGAGGAACATTGGTCACCGCCCATCCCACTATAGCAGTACACATGAAGAAACCGAAAAGCAGCAAGAGTGTGAAGGTGAAGTTAGACTTGGCACCCTGGTAGGATCGTTCAGGTAGAGTATTATTATACATCAAGCTAACTTTCTTGACGTAGAATAAAACAGCAAGCTTGATGACACCCATTGCGGGAAGGAGAGGGCTGAAGAATGTTCCAATGAGAATCAAACACTGGCCATAAACGAGGTCAAGTACATTCCTAGGAATGTCAAACTGTTGCATGCCGATCTTTTTGAAGCAGCGAAAACGATGAAATAAGATTTTCCTCAGGGTTTCCACGCCTAAGGTCGTGATTACAACGACTACAAAGTCCACCCAAACAAGCATGTACATTTGCGATGAAATGTCATTCTCCCAACAGCTTTCACAAGCCGGTTTTCCATGGCCCTTGAGCTTCTTAACCTTTTCGGAGATTTTGAAGTACTGCAAGAACATCAGGACTGCAAGAGGTGGAAGCTTGACAAAGACCCTCCTCAAGAGGTCCAACGCAAGCTCTGTATCCGGGCTCCAGTCCTCAAAAATCGCCAAGAATTCAAAAAACAGGGGGAGTACAAGGTTTGGTAATGTTATGGCTAGAGCTATCAGCAGATCATATCCATACCGCACCAACATCTGCTCTACCTCTGACTTGTTGCCCTTTTCAGTTGACTCTGTTTCCTGGAATAAAATAGCGCGGAAAACCACATAGAAGGTGGCGTACCACACAGCTGGGACAACGATTAGGTTAATAAGGATTCGCGCTGTGTAGAGAGCAATCTTCTCTTTAGTAGTCCTTAGTAGGATTCTTTTCTTTCGTTCTTGTTCTGATATGTCGTAGTGGATTTGTTGTGCAATTATCTTGTGTCGATGCTCGGCTGATTTATTCTCTGCGATGCAGTAGTCCCACGCCGCAAACACCTTGTTGGAGTAAGAGTTAAATACTCCCTCGCTCTCGATGTAACTCTCTTTTAAATTGCTCATCAGATTGGTTATCATGAGAAAAAATCCGAAGACAAAGTAAGCACCGCCAGCCAAGAGGTACGCTAATGGGAGGTCATATCTAAAACCCTCGGCAGAGATTAGTAGCTCCGATGGATAATTACTATAGAATATCAAAGTACTTCTCATCCACCCCTCCCCTATAAAAAAGTTCAAGATGTCATTGGCGGTGTTAGTAGTTTGAGTCACGTTACTAACGACCTTGGGTTTTACATAAGTACAGCCAGTGAAGTTAAAAGTACTGTTCACAGGAGGATCTGAACTGCATATAGCGACTGTAGGTATAACAACAAATCCAAACTCCAGGAGGAAAATGAATAAATTCAAGAAGACAAGCCAGCGCAGGAAACTAAAATACGACACCACGCCGCTACCGAACTGTCCCTCGACTTCTTTTAAATGACCTCTCCACAGTCCTAGAGAATATAATATTTCTCGGCCTGCAGAGCGAAATCTCTTCCAGTTTGAGATCATTTTGTTCTTGAATATTTTCCACCTTGAGACATCAGCCATGCCATGTAGTTTCATGGAATCTCGGAATCTTTTCCGCTGTGCCATCGGAAGCGGTACGGCCTTGAAATCCACAGATTCCAATAAGTCTTCATCGAAATCATCGATGTTTGGTTGATGGACATCGAAGATGGCATTCAAAGTGTCCATCTCTTGGTTCCTTCTCAGCGCTCGTGATTTCATTTTCCTTCCAGCTCGTCGCTTCAGAGCTGAAGTTGCGCCGATGGCCAGAGTCCCTCTTCGGCGAGAATTCGTGATCCCTGACATGGTCGTATGGCGAGCCATTCGACTTGGCAGTTCTTGCATTAGCGACGAAGCTTTTGGAGGAAGGGCGGGCGGTTCATCTTCATCTAGGGGAACCATTTCGATTTCGACTGCTTCCATTTTCGACTCAACTTCAGAAGATTTTTTAAGTCAGAAAAATTTACAGTGATCCTGACTGTTAACAATGTAAACACTCTGTTAACAGGAATATGTTTAGACACCTCTAGTCCAACAATGATGTCACTAGTCTTAATGATATCAAATTCCAGTGAAGATTTACTTAATGATTAAAATCATTTATCCACATACACAAATGCATATTAAGATTGTCGCTGAATAATGCACCAAGTGAAACTTTTTAAAAAATGTCTCCATTCTTTTGCACAATAATGTATATCAATGTGAGAAAAAAATTCACTTCAAATGGAAACGTGGATGGGCGATTGGTGAACGGCTGTGGTGTCGTGGATGATTTGGAATGTGACAAACTTAAGAAATGTTTCCGGTTATGGGCAGGAAGGCGTGACAGTGGACGTCCCGAGAGAGGAACGTGGGGGTGGGGTAGGGGGATGGCAAAAGCCTACTACTAAAGATGGGGGTGGGGGTAGGGGGTGACAAAAGCCTACTAGACAGTAGACAGATAGTTTTAGACACCTTTCAATTTGTGAACAACCGTACTCTTCAGCAAAGATCATATCAGCCTGTCTTACTGAGGTCTGTGTACAATACGAAATAAAGTGAACTTGAACTTAAACTTGAACTCGAAAAAGATTTTAGTTGAATTTTTCGAAAAATCTCTAGCTGCAGCCGTCGACATATGCGGACAAGAACATCACTGCTATTAAAGCTTGTTTTAATCTACTATTTCAAGCCGTGGGCTGAGTATTAAGATATTATTCATGTATCGTTTATTTCTCGTTATTTTGGTCAAAACAAAACAATAATATAATTCATCTATAATATTTATTTATCAAGTTTTTGTATTTACATTCCTACGAAAGACTATTGTCCTTTGATTTCTATTATTTTTTTAATAAGATTGCTTGATTATTTTACAAAGTTTATATACCAACAATTACAAAAATTTAAATAATTTTAATCAATTGAATCGATTGGTGGGAAGGAACTCTTCTGATAACAAAGTGCATTGTGGTCTATCTTGGGTAAGTCATCTTTCGTTTGTCATGCAATGTATAGTTGTTTGTACCCAAACTAGACCAGAATGCATCATGTTCACGGAATTTAGAAATCTTCCTGGCTCTCCCTTCTCCGTCATTTAGTTTTTCCTGTTTTTCTACTTTCTTCCTTTCTTATTTTAGCTGTTTTTTCCTTCTCCTCTTTCCCGGCTCTCCCTTCTCCTTCAATAAGTTTTTCTTGTTTTTTTCTCCCTCCTCCCTACCTTATTTCAGCCATTTTTCCCTTCTCGCTTTTCCCCCTTCCTGGCTCTTACGTTTCCCTGTTTTAGTTTGTCCATTGTTTCCCTGATCCGTTCCTCTCCACTATGCAAAACCAGATACAAGAGTTCCTACCCACTAATATGATTTGCACAAGTTAGTATTTGACTGATTGTTTTCTACCGATTTTGATAACCCTTTTTTGTGTAAGTCTTTTCATGAAAAAAAAACAAAAAACAAAAAACAACAACAAAAAAAAACAGTAGATAATTGAAACAGCTTCCAAAGACATTACCCTGACACTAATCAGTTTTACTTCATGTGGATGCTTTTTTTTCTAGTAAAAATCTGAGAGTAAAACTAGAAGTGAAAGGGTAAAATTCCCCACCCCCAGATAACTAATGAAAGTCAAATTTTTCCTAGGCAAATAGAATTTGTTTTTTCAAATAATAACAAAAATAGCATCTCAATTAATCATATCTGTTCGTAGAAAACCCAGTGACTATTCAACACCTAGGGACGAGTAAGCTTTGTAATTATTCTAGTTATTTAGCCTGTTTAGTAAATTCATCCCTACCCCCTAACCCCTAACCCCAATTCCTTAGCTCCTTTCAACTACAAAGGCTAAATTTTGTTTTCCAAATCCCACCCCCACCTCTAACCGTTTTTGCTTGGGTCACCACGTGATCTGTCCACTCCCTCCCTTTCGTAGGTTACTACGACGCGACCCACTTTCTAATAATTCATGCATTTTTAAGTTTCTTAACAAGTGTTATAACAACCATAAAGAATGTTTTTCATGGACGTATTGAATGAGCCAATTGAATGAGCCCCTTCTTTCTTTCATTAGGAAAATAATAGTATTTTGAACCTGTGGTATTTACAGCTCAGCCCTTAGTGGCGACTAGCGATAATCTGCAGAAAAAGTACATGCATCCTAATGCTAGTGGCACCTATTGGTAACAGGTGTTTCTATAGCCTTATACTCTGTGGAATGATATATTTTGTCTTACTCCGGATCTGTTAGTTTACTGCAATATTATTGATGAACAGTACAAATGGGATAAGAAGCAAAAAACTGTGATTTTCTTTTACGAGCTACAGTCTTAAAGTCTATAAGAAACACATTTGTTTTTATCTGCTGTGGTTTCCCTGTGGCTTTGCACCATCACGTGATGGCAGCCATGACAGGATGCACAAAAATTGAGTCTTTTTCCCCTGGGAAACTAAATTCTTTCTCATTTAAATTAGATTAGACTAGATTCCAAAAATAATAATGGCAATAAGTTCATGTTCTAGACGAATACAATGCATATATTATATTGTAGTTATATATTATTATCGTTATATATTTTATGCATTGTTTTGTCTTCTATTGTCCTTCTATTGTTTATAGAACATGAGCATACTACCCATTAATACTGCCTACTGTCATGGCTGCCAGCACGTAATGCTGCAAAGTCTCAATAGATGTTAGAAAAATGCTCAAAATGTTAAATAAAATTCACTCAAACATACAAAAAACTTTGAAACCGTATGGATTCTACCTAAACACATCGAGTCGTTTCCTCGTCTTTTCGTTTATCAGCTTTCTTATTTGAACTTTTGACGTGACATAATGAAGGCATGTGATAATGGCTCCTGTCAATCAAAACAGAGCCAAGGCACAAACCTGATTGGCCAATAGGAGTTATGCCATCTGATAATGAAGGTAGTCGTATCATGACAGTTGCTATAGCAACAGTTTCTCTTGCAAACGGCTGCACTGCAATGGGTATTTTTTGTGATGCCTGGAAAAGAAGAAGTGGTCTTAGATATGATGATGACGAGTGATAACGATACATGGAGACGATGGTGATGATATACGTGACAATGAATGATAATGATACATGTTGATGCTCGTACATGATGATGATGATATGATGATGACGAGTGATAACGATACATGGAGACGATGGTGATGATATACATGACAATGAATGATGATGATACATGTTGATGCTTGTAGATGATGATGATGATATGATGATGACGATGATGATTATACATGATGAAGATGATACATGATGACGATGCATAATAATAATAACAACTTTATTTAATGAGGGTGGCACTAAATAGTGTACTACACTAATAAACTTGTGGCCCTCAATGATGACGATACATGATGATGGTGATACATGATAAAGATGATACATGATGATGATGATGATACATGATGATGGTGATACAGATAAAGATGATACATGATGATACATGATGATGGTGATACATGATAAAGATGATACATGATGAAGACGATACATGATGATGATGGTACAAGATGATGATATGAAGGTAATGATTATAGTGATGATCATAGTGATTCATGATGACGATGCATTACAATAAGTGATGACGCAAATTCTATAAAAATGCTGAACGGCCACAAGTTTGCTTTAGGTACAACTACAGAAAAAGGGTAACTTACGCTGTTATTGTCAAAATCTGTGTCCTTTTCAAGAAGTAACTTCAAGGTAGAGGAAGGTCGGTTCGCCATTTGATGCAGTTCTACTATACGTTGCTAAAATTGAAAAAAAAGAATACTGATAACTCTGATAAATGTTTTTTATTGGCTTTCTGAGATATGATGTCATACTGTATTCATCCTCAACTTGTCAGCATTATTACGTCATAACAGTCGTTCAACATAACTTGTGACATCATAGTACCGTTACTCCCAAGTTGATGAGGATGGGGACGTTTCATAAACTTTCTCAAGAATGTTCGTAAAAGAGACAAATATAGCAGCCATGTTAGCGGTTTTAAAAAAAGAGAAATGTGTTCTGTAAATACCACCAACATGGCCGTTATGATGGACAAATTTAGCAGCCATGTTGGCGGTATTAACAAAAGAGAAATCTGTTCGGTAAGTACCACCAACATGGCTGTATGACGGACAAACATAGCAGCCATGTTGGCGTGGTTAATAAAAGAGAAACGTGTTCAGTAAATACCACCAACATGGCTGTATGACGGATAAACATAGCAGCCATGTTGGCGGTGTTAACAAAAGAGAAATGTGTTTATTAAATACCACCAACATGGCTGTATGACAGATAAACATAGCAGCCATGTTGGCGGTGTTAACAAAAGAGAAATGTGTTCAGTAAATAACACCAACATGGCCGCTATGACAGATAAACATAGCAGCCATGTTGGCGGTGTTAACAAAAGAGAAATGTGTTTATTAAATACCACCAACATCGCTGCTATGGCGTAGCAAGGAAACAGTTTATATGACGTCATCACAAACTTACCCTTCTCATGACGTAATTACTATATCTAATCTTAATTTTCCAGGCGATAAATGTGATGATTAGGATGGAGAAAAAACAGCTATAAAAACATAGAGGAAAAATAAAAATGTAAAACAAGCTCAAGTGTTTTTATTATATTTAGCAATATAAAAAACTCATTATTAACTCAGGTCAAAAGTCTACTTACCCGAAAAATGTTAAGAAAAACCTTAATAGCATGAAAGGTGTGAGCTGAGAGAATGATATCTGAAGTAAAATAAAATGTTTTTATTAGATGATGTCATGGTACATTAGATCCATTTACCTTGGACGTAATGTTTTCAATGTCAGACAAGTGCCATTCTCTAGAGAATGAGATTCTTTATTTGAGTTGTATCTATATTTATGTATCTTCTCATGCATAACCATTTAAACAAAGAAAGTATTCTCAAGAGAATGACATGTGGTCTGAAACGGAAAAACATGACGTCCAAGCTCAGTGTCTATATAAGACCCCCTGCACTGAGTCCCTAGAGGAATTGTTCTGGGGGACAAAACAATGGATTTTTTTTTTGCATAAGAAAAGACGGCCTTAAAAAAAGAGAAAAGAAAAGAAAAAAAAGGAAAGAAAAGACGGCTTATTGTTTTGTCCCCCAAAACAATCCCCTAGGAATCCAACGGAAAGGGTCTTTTCATATTCCAGTGTGGTAGTGTGTGGGGGAAAATCTCAACAGAAGATTCACTTACGATAAGTGAGATATTATAAGACTGGGTATTGAATGAAACACTATTTTTCCAGCGTACTCACCTCGACAACGCAGTTCCCTGTAATGCCATAGACATAGACAAAGAAGGTGAACTTGCTTGAGCCTCCAAAATTATACTCATCATGTTTGAATGAGTACTCGTATTTGCCGATTCGTTTGGCCAGTTTAAATGACTGCTCTGACGATGATCCTAGAAATGAAAATCCAGGTTTTTTTTGCAGTCAGAGTCAATCAAAGCTTACACTTCCCTTCCCACTTGGGATAATGAATCATATACAATCCAACTCTACCCTCCCCTCCCTGAAAACTAATGTCATTTGTAAACCGTTTTCCCACCCCCCCTGCCAAGTATTTCGCACTCAATATGAACGAATTGCTGTGAGAAGCAGAGGATGGTATTACTTTTAGGCCCGTAACTTTTAGTCTTGTGCAGACCATCCAACTCTACCCTCCCCTCCCTAAAAACTAATGTCATTTGTAAACCGTTCTCCCACTCCCCTGCCAAGTATTTCGCACTCAATATGAACGAATTGCTGAGAGAAGCAGAGGATGGTATTACTTTTAGGCCCGTAACTTTTAGTCTTGTGCAGACAATCCAACTCTACCCTCCCCTACCTGAAAACTAATGTCATTTGTAAACCATTCTCCTACCCCCTGCCAAGTATTTCGCACTCAATATAAACGAATTGTTGAGAGAAGCAGAGGGAGGTATTACTTTTAAGCCCGTAACTTTTAGTCCTGTGCAGACAATCCAACTCTACCCTCCCCTCCCTGAAAACTAATGTCATTTGTAAACCATTCTCCCACTCCCCTGCCAAGTACTTTGCACTCAATATAAACGAATTGCTGAGAGAAGCAGAGGGAGGTATTACTTTTAAGCCTGTAACTTTTAGTCTTGTGCAGACAGGCCCCTTAATACTTTATAGGGCTTGTTGCAAGATCTATCTTACCTGTCTTATAGGTTATATTGACCAGGGCATCATTTCCTGATATGCTTATCTTGAAGTCAACATCTATGTCATCCTGCAAAGGAAACACAAGTCAGTCATTTCAGCAACATATTCTTATAAACTAATTTTCTTCCAGTAGTATGTGTCCAATGGAAACCCGCCCACACTAAAAACGATTCTTAAACTATGAAATGACTTACGGTGCAAGAGGAGATCCAAATTGTGCATTACAATCACAACAAAATCAACACTAGATCCCTGTACTCACCCTTTCCAAAGCCAGTTTATTTTAGCTCAGTTTATTTGTAAGGTTGACCATGTCTTTTGATGGGAGGGAGTGGGGGGGGGGGGGGCAAAGGAAGCAATGCATTGTTGTTATTGATGGGGACTATCAACCCTCATGAAACACACTAGATGCACAGTGTAAGCCGAGTGTGCACCCTTGAGCATGCCCATGACATGCTTTAAGGACACCAAGACATACCTTTTTAGGAACATTCAAAAAACTAACACCAGTTGTGCCATTTAAGTTGAAGGTGAAGAGGTATCCACTTGTCAAGTTATCTGTAAGATAAGCAAAGTAAGAAAGCTTGTTAATATGCAGAAAGTATAACTCAAGTGGAACCCAGTGAATAGACATCCACTCAATACAGACAATATGGATGCCCACTAAACATGCATGCCCAATCAATAAGACACCCGCTCAATAAGCTTTTTCATAGTTTAAGAATCGATTCCACTGCGCATGCGATTTTATCCCGAATTTCTCACCTTTTTTTATCTAAAGCAAGCGCAGTGGAATCGATTCTTAAACTATGAAAAGGCTTATATAGACACCCTCTCAATATGGACACCCACTCAATATAGACACCCACTCAATATGAACACCCTCTTATCACAGACACTCACTTAATACAAACACCCACTCAATACAAGCACCCGTTATTAGATTTCCACTTGATACAAGCACTTTTTTGTGCCAATAATGTGCATTTATTCTTAAAATGGTAAAGAGAGTACTTACAGTAACAATGTCCCCCATTACTGGCGTTGCCATAGAAACCCTTCTGTCTGGAACACCTGAATAATTAAGGACCAAATATGCTGTTAGGTATTAAGGCATAAGACCCCATTTTCCAGAGCAAAAACCACAGTTCCCATATTAATATTCCAGGAACAAGGAATCATTACTTACAGTTGACAATTATCGCCTGCAACACCCTTGGTACGACAATCACAGACACCAGTCTCATGATTACACACACTACCATGACCATTACATTTACATGCTGTGGGTACAAGGAAAAAATATTAGAATTGGAGATTTCATAAGGAAAAACTCTTACAAATATGTAAAAAGAAAATTGTTATTTGGACACTAGTGTTTTAGTGGGAAATATGTCACTAATTTTTTTCATACAAGCTACATCCATGACCTCTGTGACATTTTATTGAGGCCTTCTATAGACCCCTTGCATGTGATGTCAAAGCAGCTCAATAAACCCCTTGCATGTGACGTCAAAGCAGCTCAATAGACCCCTTGCATATGACGTCTAAGCAGCTCAATAGACCCTTTGCATATGACATCTAAGCAGCTCAATAGACCCCTTGCATGTGATGTCTAAGCAGTTAAATCTGGGAGTCAAAACAAAAAAAATCCCTTTCTCTTGAGGATTGAAATCTTTTGTGATGATAATATGCTCAGTTGTTTGGACCCCCAGGTAGGAAATTTGAGTCTATTGAGGGTTCAAGTCTTTTCTGATGTTAATATTTTATCATAGTTTTGGACCCCAGGATAGGGATTTAGTGAAAATATTGAAGTGCAAATTTACCTTGGCATTTTCCTCCATTTGTGGGGTCACCAAAATAACCTGGAGCACAGGTCTGGCAATGGGAACCTAAATGAAAGATGAAGAGGATTTTTAAGATGCTTATAAATTGCTGCAATATTTAGTCTACATTGCTGTACAAGCAGAGCATGGCTAGCTTACAGATTGCATTGAAAATGAGCATGCTGTGTTTTGAGGAAAACCTAAAGAAAACCCTTCAAATCAAGAGAGAAAAACTCTACCCACACATGATGCTAAGACCAACAATCTGGCGTGAGAGGTGATCGCAACACCTCTATGCCACCCTCAATTCCCTGCATGTGTGTGTGTTAGAGAGAGAGAAATGTGGGGATAAAGAAACAGTAAAGTGTGGATATTCTTTGTTAAAGATTAATAAATAGCATTTAAACAAATGAATGGAACTTACCATTAGTGTTATCTAGACATTGTTTGCATTTTTGTTCATCATCACATGTGCTATGACCATTACACTGGCATGCTGGAAAAAAATAGGGTGTGAGAGAGGAATGTGTCAATGAAAAAAAATTTTTTTCAAAATCATTTCCTGCAAAACTTACCTGGACATTCAATAAAAAACCACCTCTTCTTGTTGAGCTTTGGTAAGCACTGATTGCTCACAACACTGGAGTTTTTGCCTCCAGGACTAAAGGGCCCATTATCGCCACCAGGCATGCACTGTCCGAGCCCAGTGCCTGAACCATCATCACACCATCCGCAACCTGGAAGAGTATGACAGTCCTGGCACGTCTTCCTGCCCTCACAACTGACATCTGGAATAAGGAACAGACATTAATCAGTCTTATTAGAATGGGATTTATTTGTACCACAGATTACAATGAGGAGAAAATATAAATATAAGTATATTTACAAAATGGAAGGGGGTTACATAGAATAACTATAAGAGCTAAACATACTAGGTAATACAAATATCTGAAATTACAAAGCATGGTGGAAAAGAAGACTATAATATAAAGATTACAGTATCTATATATATGTATACATGATTATATAATATTATATTATACATAGGAAGGGAAAGAGGAAGGATGGAAGGAGAAAAGGAAGAGAGGGAAAGAGAGAGGGAGGAAGAGAGGAAGGAGGGACAAAAAGTATGCAGAAAGGGGAAAAGGGAAGGAAGAAAAGAGAAAAAAGGAGAACATGAAATGAGAAAGGGGTGAAAACAGATAAATGGAAGGAGAAATTTATAATAAAATTCAAACCTGCACACTTGTCTTTAGTCCACTCGTGACACTGCCCATATGGGAAAGACACCACATATGCATTCAGACCAACACATTTTCTCTGGGACTCGCACCACATACACTTGTCATTCCCAGTACAGGTCTTGCATGTTGAATAGTCATTACAAACAGTATGAGCACAGATGCCACCTATGGAATGGATGATAAAGCATATCAATAAGAGGGGCAATTTAAAATGTATCAAATAAATGATTACTAAAGAAGGTAAGAGTAAGGGTGTCAGTGGCTGTTAAGCAGGTGGTGTTAGGGTGTTGGTAAAAGGTTTGTGAGGTGTAAGTAAGGTGTCTGTAAGGTGTTGGTAAGGTGTGTTGCTAAGGATTTGCTAGGGTATTGGTAAGGTGTGGTAAGAGGTTTGTAAGGTGTAAGTAAAGTGTAAGTAAGGTGTTGGTAAGATGTGTTGGTAAGGATTTGCTAGGGTATTGAGGTTTGTAAGGTGTTGGTACGGTGTTGGTAAGGTGTTGGTAAGGTGTTGGTAAGGTGTTGGTAGGGTGTTGGTAAGGTGTTGGTAAGGTGTTGGTAAGGTGTTGGTAAGGTGTTGGTAAGGTGTTGGTAAGGTGTTGGTAAGGTGCTGGTATGGTGCTGGTTATGTAGGGTGTTGATAGGCTGTTGATAGGGTGTTGGCTAAGTTGTATTGGCTAAGTTGTATTGTTGGCTAACAGTCACAAACAATGATTTTCTAATCCTACCACAAACATTACATTGACCCAGATCACAACTTACTTGATTTGTCTTTATCTGGACATAATCCTGAAATTATTAAAGATGACTTTGGGCACTGGTTTTCTTCTGTTACCTTCAATGCAAAATAGTCTGTTTAATGGCATGATGGTAAAGAGGAAAGACCCCTTTAAGCACAAGAGATAATTTTTTAAACTTTTACTCTCTGATGAGGGAACTCCAAAAAGTCAGTAAATATTCTTAAATGTTGATTGGCATCCACAACACAATGCTTGAGACCCCAAACCTATCCCAGGACTCACTTCACTTGTGTTGATAAGGGCTTCCTGAATATTGATTGGCATTCACAACACAATGCTTGGGACCCTAATTTCATTACTTATAAGACATATAGCCTAGATGGTAATACTAGAGGTCAATTCAAGGGCCAAACCACATACATGGCACACAACCACATACATGGCAGGGCTCAAAATAGCAGCCTGCCAATGGCCAAATGATAGGACAAATTTCAGGTTTGCCAGGAGAAAATAAGGATGCACTGCCAAATGAATAATGAAATGGCAGGCAAAATTTGCTGGAATGACCTCCTTTTACCATGCTCCTTTACTATGGCAGACTAAAAAAGTTTTCTATTTCGAGCCCTATGGTGGACTGGTCGGTACTATCATCGTGTACGGATTAACGAAGTACGTCATAGGTTTCCAAACACACGAGTGGGACTTAGAAATTTTGGTTCTCCTCACTTAGGAAAAACATTAAATGAAGACACACCAAGAATCGAACTCGGTACCTTCGGCACCAAAGAACTACTACAATGCCAACCCCAACCCTAACCCTAACCACTAGACCACAAAGCAAATTCAGTTGGGTGATCTCATTTTTTAGTCATATTTAAACAATGTATCATTAGCATGTGCACATAAATATTTATTATAGTTTAATTTATGCTATCGTAGGGTACGACTACTAGCCAATTACTAGAAATTTGAATTTGAATAGAATTCCCCTGACATTTCCCGTACATGACCATACAACCAACTGGTTGACACCTGTGCTATTCTATCCAACTAAATTATGGTTTGGAATTTGACACCAGTTTCCTAAAGCTACTGACAGAGAAAATTAATTATGAACACAATAGTAAATGGGTAAATGTTGTTACCTTTTTCCTCGAGCAATTGTCAGTTGAATTAATGCATTGTTTCCCACACCAAGAACACTGAAAAATACTTGAAGTGCACTGGTTGCAGTTTTTGTGCATAGAACATTTGCCAGGATTAGCTGAAGCATGGATAAAAACATAAAGTAAACTGAAGTTTATGACTTTTGGGATTTCTTTATTGTAGCTGTCTTTTTGTGAACACAGCCATTAAAATACCCTCTGGAAAGATAAAACTAGAAAACGGGAGAACCGGGAGGAAGCCTTTAATCACGGAAGACCAAAACAAACTCTATTCAAATGAAATGTCAAGTCAGTAACCCCAGAGGTGAGGGGGAGGGGGAAAGGGAGGGGGAGAGGGAGGGGGAGAAGGAGGGGGTGCACTTCAGACCAACAACAACTGAATGTGAATAAAGGGTGCCATTTTAAAACTGCTACATATTGAGAATCTTTAGCAGAATGACAGCCTTTTTTTACCAGAATGACAGCATCCCAAAATAATGAAATAGATAAAATTATTACAAAGATACAATTTATTGTTAACAAAATTACAAGAGCCAATAATTTACAATAGTAGTTAAAAAAAAAAAAGAAAGAAATAAGGAGAAGTGTGTTTGTTTTTCGAAATAGTAAAAAACGATCGAGTCAACAGCCACCTACTGTGATAGTTTTTTTTTAAAAACCAAGATCTGATAAGGAAATATATACATGATAGATAAAGCAAGGCCTATGTAGACTTACTTACCTGAACAAGCTGGCTTCTCTAAATTATTTGCTTTTATGAGATCAGCATTTAGAGGACCAATGCACTTGTGAGTATCAATGGTTCTTACACAGCCATACTTGGTGTAGGCATGTAGACATGATGTCTTATTGACATGTGCTGAACAGTCACCTTAAAACAAGAAGACATGGAGTAAATACCAGATAACATCAAGGCTCAATTTTAGTTTTTCCTACTTGATTGTCTTATGTCAAAAGAAATCTATAACTTTTGCAAGTCATACGGCATTTTCGAATATTGTTTTTACTGAAAAGGAAAATTTATATTATTTGGATAGGAAACCAAAAAATTTTTTAGTAGTTAAATTTAGTGAGTTTCTTTAACCAAGACAAAGAATTCACTAGTACTTGAAGTTGACTGACGCAAGATAGTCTCTTTCACAGTTCCCTGCATTGTCTTGAAAGGTAGCCGCCATCTGTGCCTTTGCATCGAAGACGAACAGCAAGCTTGCAATGATATAGATGTTAATAACTGTTCAAGGAGTTAAAAAATGTCTTTATCATTGCAAGCTCACCATTCATCTCACTCCAATGCAAAGGCACAGCTGGCTACTTTCAAGATGGTGCAGGGAACTGTGAAGGGGACTATTCCATTTGAATAATTATAAATCATAAATTTCAAAAAGCGTTGGCGCTAAAGGTTTTTTTGTATGTTATATGTTATATATTTTGGGAGGGGGCATATTTTCTTCTGTGATTTTATCTACATATGATCCACAATAATTTCAATCTTGGCATGCAACATGTAAAAAAACCTTTGTCAATCTTTTTTGAAATAGCTGACAGCGTATATAATATGAGTGGCTGATCTGTATCTCATAGATAAGTATGTTGTACTAAACATTTTAGCAGCTACACAAACCTGTCGTGTATTGCAGGATATCACCCAGCATTGTTCCTTGGAAGCCTCCAATGACATACATGGTGCTGAACAAATATATAAACAATAAATGTGAAATTCTTTGAATGAAACAATAGACAGAAACAAAAGATACAATGTCTAGTGGTGGCTACCAGCAGATGATCGCTGGGTACCTCAACCTCTCACTGCCGGCTATGTCAAAATCAAATTGAAAATCATCAATTAAAATAATATGAATCTTGTGCAGAAAACAGTCACCTATTTTGTGAAGAGACTCTCCTACTTCAAAAATGACTCAGTCCCCTAAATGTGTGGCCAAAATTGGCTGTTTGCATGTTGGCATCATTTTACTAAATCTACCAAATTTTCTTTCTATCAAACTTGTATTTCCTCATGAGAGTAGTAAGACAATTGGTGCTAATTAACTGAACGAAAGAAAGTGTGCAAAGGAGTCTGGTAATGGTAGTTAATGAGGTAACAATGTTGCAAGTGACCTATGGGCACTTGTCTAGTCCTATTGACTGGTTATTCATCAGACTAATGTAGCCAGTCAATTATGTCTGGCCTTTGAGCAGCTATCAAATAGACATACAGAAAGCCCAGTTCTGTATCATTTAATTTGTTCTGCAATACATACCCATTAGCTTCAACTGCACTGTGTCCAAAACGTGCAGCTTGGCTTGATAAAGATTTAGTGAGTGGAACATTTGTCCATGTATTACACCCTAAAGTAACCATACAACACAGTTGTAAACAAAATATTCAAATTATATAACCTACTTGCTGATTGGCTGGCTACTGTGTTTATATCAGAAGACATAGATATGCTCACTCAAAGTTTTGCGAAAATATTTATAAATTAAAGCAATATTATTTGAATGCACACACCAAACACTCTGGGAGCTGTAGAGCACTCCTAAAAGCAAGAAAAGCACTGGGCTACACCTCATGTTCCTAAGCATGCATCCCTTAGTGCTCTAGCCCTCCAAGTAGCATGTTTATATCATAGTACAGAGACATACACCAGGATTTTATATCCCTTAAGAGAGGGAATCAAGGGTGGCATGGAAGTAGTGCACACTTCTATCAGTCTAAGGATTTCTCTCGCATTTTACGAGTTTGACCATTCCAAATTATGACACACCATTGATGGCTGCATGGTAACGGAAGAATACATCCAGACATGAATCTAAAACTACTATTAATAAGCCTGGCCCTATTATATATGCTCTATACCAGGTGCACAAATGTTCTACCATTCAAGGTATATAAAGCATGTTTAGAACTTTCCAATTCTTGACTAATTACTTACGTGTGTCGAAGAGCATAAGATCAGGAGAGTAACAGCGTGTTTTTTTCAGTGCCTCACTGGTGTCATTGTGTGTGTTTCCACCAAACACAAGTAACAGATTACCAAGAAGTACAGATGAATGCAGAAAACGAGGGTAGCCACTACTTGGGAGGATTAGCCTAAAAGTAATTTGACACTGTTACCAATAATGTTTCTTTGTATAAGGACCATCATCAGGTCAAAGCTACCAAGAACCCCACCTCCTCCCCCCAAATACTAACTGTTACCATGAACTTACCATTTATTTTTTACGTCAGTAAGTTTTTTCATCTTTTCATGGTGTATAATTTACCTTTTTATCATTACTATTTATTTTTTGATGGTATGTATGCATACAGATGACTGGAGATTTCAGCATTATTACCATGAACGTACCATTTATTTTTTGATGGCATGTATGCATACAGATGACTGGAGATTTCAGCTACCAAGAACCCCACCCCCTCCCCCCAAATAGTAACTGTTACCATGAACTAACCATTCATTTTTTGATGGCATGTATGCATACAGGTCACTGGAGATTTCAGCTACCAAGAACCCCACCCCCTCCCCCCAAATAGTAACTGTTACCATGAACTTACCATTCATTTTTTGATGGCATGTATGCATACAGATCACTGGAGATTTCAGCTACCAAGAACCCCACCCCCTCCCCCCAAATAGTAACTGTTACCATGAACTTACCATTTATTTTTTGATGGCATGTATACATACAGATCACTGGAGATTTCAGCATTATTACTGAGAGTGGCTCTGTATCCTCCATGAATGTAAATCATCCCTGATACTGGGTCATATGCACTGCTGTGCCCAAAAGTGGCCTGCACCAATAGAGAACTAAAGTTGTATTGCTTCCAGCTCATTTTTTCTATAATGTGGAAACATAATCAGCATAAAACTAGGAACAAAATGACTACTGTATACGTTATGCATTACTGTGCAGATACTCAAACTGGGAACATGGATGCAAAGTTAACTACTAATCATGAGGTCTAGAGAAACTGGAGCCAATCTGAAGAGAGCAGAATCACATCAGCCAATCACATTCCGCTCCCATAAGTAGATCATAACATCATCAGGTTGTCTGTCAGAGCAAGATCAGATATAGTTATGTCTTTTCTATTGTTTCCTGATTGGCTGAAGTTGGTGTGCTTGGTTTTCATTCTGTGTTAGAGCAGTTTTCATATGACTGTGAAAAGCTCACTGCACAAACACGGTCGCGACACCACAAGGGATATGCCAGACCAATCACACTGCTTGAGAATTTAATCTCCATCCAATCAAATACCCAGAACACTGCATAAACATGGCACAGACACTTCAAGGTCAATGCACTGTCAGGCCAATCATATTGCGCAAGAAAAAAAGCAGCCAAATGCCAATGTGCATGAGCATGAATCTTTAGCAAAAAGCATAATGGGAAACCTAAATTCTAGATAAAATCACAGTCACAGCACAGCATGCTGACGGCACTGAGCTTTTCACAGTCATACAAAAACTCCTCTATGGTTGGTTGAGTTTGTGGTCCCAGTTTCATTGTCCGCACTCTAACCACCTAGCCAACAAGTATTGCTATGACAACAGTTCCTGAATACCATACCAGTCTGATGTGGCATCCTTGTTCCCCAAAACATATCAAGTATAACTACTTGACTTAACTTAGTACTCGATCTTAAAATACTGTCTAATAGCTCACCTAAATCAAACACTTGCACCCTCTGTGTGTATCCTTCCTTGGGTCCATATCCAAAAATAACAACCATCTTGTTATCAACAAGCGTTGCAGTGTGTCCAGACACTGCAATAAGGTTATCACTTTCAGCAGAGACTGACACTTGCGTCCATTGTCTTGTCCTTATGTCAAACATCCACAACTCACTGACTGTCTTCTTGTCAACGATGCCTCCAAAAACAACAATTGTATCCTAGCAACAGGAAAGATGTAATACCGGCATGAAATATTTTGAAGAAATGCAGACTTGAGAAAACGAAAATATTTTTAAAATGATAAACAATCAGGGGTGAATCTGTGGGGGGGGGATAGGGGGTTTCCCCAAAGCACAATCAAACCCCCCAAATGACAACAACTCCCTCCAAGTGATCTTGGTGAACCTGCGCAAAGGATTGTTGTAGTTGATCAGGGGGTCCTAGTTTCAGTGTTTATCGGCGAACAAAGAGCTATTATTTCACAACAATTTCATAAAAGAATTGAAACCACAATGCACCATTTGACCCATAGAGGATGGAAGAGTATTCCATAAATTAGGAGCAGAGACAGAGAAGGACTGGTGACCATGAGAGAGAAGTTCATACTTACATTGACCACAATCATTGAATGTCCGTACCGTTGCCTTGGCAACAGACTTGAAACGTTGGGCACCACAACTTCCCACTTGTTTTGTGATACATGGTATCTGTTTATTAAATATCAATTTTAGGATAAGCATCAGCACAAAAAGTTTGATTAATGTTTGATGACAGATTTGAGAATATGGTAGAATAGTAGCTACATGGTTGTTGTAATGGTGCCTTAACATGCAGCCCGTAAAATCCTCCACTGGACAATATATAAAACAATGTATAGATACGCTATATAAAACCTCCCTATATTTTTTCACTTATATTACCATTATGATACTTATTCCTGAATGCTATTGCCCTTAAATGCTTAAAATTGATATAATCAATATTTTTCATGTAGAATATTCAGGATATTTATAATAAAGTTGTTGTTGTCACCGTTATTGTCATTGTAAACGTCAGCGTTGTTGTTAGTTTTTACCTGATAAGATTGTTAAATGGGGTATTGTCCATAGCATAACCACCATATACCCAAATCCAGTCTCCAATCAAGCTTGCAGCATGTGAAGCTCGGCCTTTCATCACTTCTACATGTATGAATAAAATAAAGGTACCTGTAAATTTCTTTATTTAAGTGTCTAGTCATTTATTCTAGTGATTTCTCACTGATTGGGGACACATTTAATGTGCCCATAGAACAACAGAAACAAACTCAATTCACATAATGGTGCCCACAGGGCTCAAACCAGTGACCAGAAACTTTGGAACCACAGTGGTGAAAGATGGCTTGTTAGCAGTGTACATCACCCATGCTACACAATGACACATTTTGAATTGACAACCATTTATCTATATTCTTACAATCAAGTATATATAATTTATATTTAACGTGCACATGTAATATAAACACGCTGGGAGCTGTAGAGCAAGAGAGAAGCAAGCTTAGGAACATGAGGCGTAGCTGAGTGTTTTTCTTGCTTCTCGAGTGCTCTAGAAATCCCAGAGTGTTTATATCACAGTACAGAGACATAAGCAGCCGTTTTAAGATGCTTCTACTAAATATTTTTGAATTATTTTGCACAAGCATGTCTCTGTCCTGTGATATAAACACAGTAGCCAGCCAATCAGCATGCATGTTAAATCTCAAATATTCTATAATTACTATTTATATAATTTTAAGGAAGTCAAGGGATTTTTTCCTTAGGAGAATACATTGTGTATGCTTTCTGAGGATAAAACTCACCCTGATTATTAGCAGGCACATGAGTCCAGTATCCAGAACCGAGTGTGACATTACATGATGGTCCTGTTAAATTAGATTTTATTTTATTTATTGCTGCATTACAATCATAAAAATCTCAATAAAAATCTTTGAAACTTATTATCTGCTTCAAAAGGTGGTCAATGGGCTACCAGAAAAAAATGCTATTAAAAACTTGTGATTCAGTGGATGAACTTTTCACATGAGAAAAAGATATCAACCCAGCAACAGTCCCCTTCACAGTTCCCTATGCCATGTTGAAAGGTAGCCATGCCTTTGCATCAACGCAAGATGAGCCAAGAGCTTGCAATGATAGAGACATGAATAATTGTCCAAGGTGTTAAAAAAGGTCTCTATCATAGCAAGCTCAACATTTGTCTCGCTTTCATGCAAAGGCAAGGCTACCTTGCGTTTTACCCTTTAATTTTGCATAACTTACAGTACCAAAGCAAATGAAAATTCCCATATAAATTCAAAAAAGCTGCCATTTCATTGCCACGAAGGGGACCCATGGCCCCCTCGTCCCCTGCCTACACCCTTGCCCAAGTGCAATGATTACTAACCAGTAAAACCATGATTACATCCCTCACACTGTCTTGTAACATTGTTGCATACACCACTAAGGCAGCTCATTAGACATGAAGCAATCGTACAACTAGGACCAGTCCATCCTTGATCACAAATACAATTACCATGGGAACCACAGTGACCATGGTTATTGCACTGTGAGGAACAGTCCCTAGTTACTCTAGAAAAATAAAGAAATATATTTATTTTAAAAAGTTAGTTATTTTTCTAATTTTTTCCCACTTATATACCATATTATAAATTTATTTTAGATTTGATTTTGAAGGAATTGAAGAATTTGAGGAAATGTTTCCTTCTTATCTTCCTTATCATCATCCTCCTCATCCTCCTTCTCCTCCTCATCCGTCTCCTTCTCCTCCTCCTCCTCATCATTATCAACATCATCATCCTCCTTATCATTCTCATCCTTCTCCCCCCTTCTCCTCCTCCTTCTCCTCCTCCTCCTCATCATTATCAACATCATCATCCTCCTTATCATTCTCATCCTTCTCCCCCCTTCTCCTCCTCCTTCTCCTCCCCCTCCTCCTCCTTCTTGTCATCATCATCATCATCAACATCATCCTCATCCTCCTTATCATCTTCATCCTTCTCCCCCTCCTCCTTCTCCCCCTCCTCCTCATCATTATCAACATTATCCTCATCCTCCTTCTCTACGTCATCAAAATAGTTAATAAAATATTTGAGCTGATAGACAGTATTTTATATTTAGGTGCAAATTATAAAAAATCTTCCCATTCAATGGCATTTATTCTGACAGAGATATACATTTAAAAAGGGTAGAATGTGAGCGTCTTTAAGTGCCACAGCAACCCAACTGCTCACAGGAAGTTCAATCACATTGAAGCCAAAATCAAGCTGTCTTTTCAACAGGAGATCCAAAAGAGAAGTTTCAAACACTCTTAAAATCAATCGGCAAATTTTAGTCTATTGAACTTTTAAGTGTGATATTTTAAAAAGGCATTAAATTGACTTCCTGGTCCAAAAGTGAAAGTATTATGCAAATAATTTTTTTTTCCTTGAAAGCAAAATTTGTTATTCGATCTTTAGTTCTTACTGCTTCAGATAGAGGTTAAATCAACCTTATGACCTGTTTTCCTTTATTTTTGCAAGACAAGTTTCAAGAACACTCTTAAAATGAATCAGCAAATTACTGTGTCTTTCTGCATTTTAGTCTACTATTGAACTTTTAAGTGTGATATTTTAAAAAGGCATTAAATWGACTTCCTGGTCCAAAAGTGAAAGTATTATGCAAATAAATTTTTTTTTTCTTCAAAGTAAAATTTGTTACTCAACGTTTAGTTCTTATGGCTTCAAATAGAGGTTAAATTGACCTTATGACCTGTTTCACTTTATTTTTGCACAATATATTTCATTGTTTTACATGAAGGCTTGATATCTATCTCACCTATATTTAATATTGAAACCTGTAAGAACATAGTTGGCATCACTGTAGAAATACAACCATGCTGTGTTGGAATTGATGCGAAGGCGTTTGATTGGTTCCTGGGCTACCTCAAGAATGCTTTGGTCTCTAATTAATCCACTGTAATGATAACAATAAAATGTAATATGGTTAATTAACAGCATTAATTATAGATAATGCAAAAAATAATTAGAAAGGTCAGTCTCACGTATGATCATCAATTGCCCACAAAATATCATGGACTAGTGCCCCTGACTTGAGTTTGGCATGCTGTCTACAACTTGTGGGAGCCTTTTTTGGACTCCATGCACATAGCAGTGACGTACACAAGCCTCAAAGTCCATGGAAATGATGTATAAACATCTTTTTAAATATTAAAGTTCAAGTTCCTGAGGTATATTGTCGCTCTAATTCAACCAAAGGTTTGTTAATTAATCTTTCTAAGTTTGTAAACCAGTTCAATAAAACTCACAGATCATGTTTCATTGGGTCTGAAACCCCATAAAACACTCCTGCTTGTTACCAAGATACGCTATACATCAATCTTAATGTTACATAAACTTGGTTACTGCAAGCTACCCATTGGAATTTGGTTTTTCATTGGTGCCCGTCAAAACTAACTTTTTATTTTGATTGACATCAGCAAAAAAGGAAACAAGGCAGGATGCTCACAATTTTGGACTTTGAGTGGAATGCGTGGTTCGGGAAATAATTCATACACAAATAATACATAAATAGGATAAAAATAAATAAATAGGATTTAGCAGTGGCATTTCCACAGAGTAGCTCTTCGACCACTGAAATTCCAATTGTAATTTTGAAGTTGATTTTTGTGGAGGGAGGAAAACCAGAGAACCCGGAAAACCCTCAAAGCACAGAAGAGAACCAACAAACAACTCAATAACATGACACTAATCCCGGTAGGACTCAAACCTGGGTCGCATTGATGAGAGGCGGGCAATCTCACCACTACACCACCCATGCTTCCCATAATTATTAACAAAACAAAAAAACAAAAAACAAAAAAACAAAAACAGAATGAACTAAATTACAGAGTTTGTATGGAAGAAAATTGGGATTTCTTGGGGGTAGGGGGGATTAAAAATTCCTCCATAGGGAGGAGGGGGTATGGATAATTTCTGGATCTATACAATATTGAAAACTCCAGTAAAATCAGTAAATAATTTTCTGTACTTATGTAATTACCTACCTTAATGTTCCCAACAATGGCGCATGTATTGAATTTCCACCATAAATATAGAGATGATCCCAAGAGCATTCTGTGGCAAATTGTTCTAAATCTAGTTCAATCGTACTATTGGACCTATGATAAATAAACAGCAATGTTGTTAGGAAAAAAAACGTGTCGTCCCAAATATGAGCCATCTCCACACAGCCTGTTATTAAATTTATTGTGAATGTCAGTTCAGCTAAAATTAAATTATTCACACAATAAAATCAATTAAAAAATAACTGTTAAAAAATGTTCTTCTTTGGGAAATGAATTCTTCTTTAAAGCAAAAAACACTGTATTGTTACTGCCGTGAAAACACTGTAAAAGGAAATATCACAAACATGTCATATAATTAACAATAGAAACACCTCACAATGGCTGGCTGTTTGATTAGCTAGAAAAATGTGAGAAAATTTAGAGTATAGGGCCAAGTAAAAAAAAAAACAAATGTTTCTCATCTTGCCCCCTTCAATTTTTGGGCCGCCTATCTTTTTATTAATTTTTCTTGGAAAAATCAGAACAAACAAAAAGCAACAGGTGTTATTTCTACTTTGTACCCATTTCCCCTCAATTCTCTGCATTTTGATTAAATAAAAAGTTAGAAAATAACAAAAAATGCGCCTGCCTGCTCTCTTTAGAATTATAGAAATCCAGACGAGAAACCTTTTTTTAACTCAGTATTATTTGTTTATTTACTAGTAAATAAACAAATAATACTCTCAAATGGAAACTGTTTGGACTGAAATGAGAAAAAAATTTGCCTAAAGTAAATGGCATTCATACCTGGATGTTTCTATGAGCCAAGAACATTTTGATGATTCAAAGTAATTCTTTGGGCCATCTGATATAATTCCTGTATCACTTGTAAATCTGTAGTAGATTTAAAAAAATTTCATTTCATTTTTATTAACTTTATTAGATTTCAGTATACCAAAAATGTAATCAAATACCCTCTAGCACCCATTTGTGTTAACTATGTGGCTTCCTGAATATTGATTGGCATCCATTTCGCAAATCGAGATCCCTTTTCTATGTCTTATGATGTCAGCATATGATCCAAACTAAAGCGGAACCATGTAAGCATGGGAAGCACAGGTGGCGTAGCAGTGAGAGTGCTCGCCTCTCACCAATGTGAGTTGAGTTGTTTGTTGGTTCTCTCCTGTGCTTCAAGGGTTTCCCGGGTTCTCAGGTTTTCCTCCCTCCGCAAAAACCAACTTCTAAATTCCAATTAGATATTGGGCTTTCGCCTAGCATGATTCTGAGGGTTCTGTTCGTGATTGTCCCACTCTGTGATTACAGAGAAAACTGATAGATTTACCTACACGGCGAGTGGTTTCATTGCAAAGTTTGGATCATGTGCTGATGCCATTTCATGTTCAATAAGTACAGACCATAGGAAATGGACCTCAAATTTTTTTTAAACCAAAATACAATATAAACCTACAGAACCCTTGCAGAATATTCCTGATGCAGTCCAATTCAGAGGACAAAACAAAAGAATCTTACTGTCATGAGAACTGATATTCATTGTTTTGTACTCTGAGTTGAATGGCTCTGGGAATTGCTGAAACCTGTCATGGGCATTTGTAAACATGTGCCCTAGGCCAAATTGAAAAATCTAGTGAATTTGAGCCTTAACATAAACATCTTACCATAAATTCAAAATAAATAATACAAAAAAAGCCCAAAAATGTGAAATTTACTTCCAATATTAAATTAACCCTTTATAAATACGTTTTGATTAATTTTCGCGTATGTTTCGGCTTGGTTCTTCGCTACATATATACAATGACGTCTTTGTCATTAGCTGACACACGTCTTTATTTTCACATTCAAAACAATTTAAAACAGTATTAAAATAATTTGAAAATTAAGTCACTGAAAATAGTAAATCTGGAGGTAGTTTGGGCATATAAACGCGAGAGTTAAACGATTTAGACAGCTGTAAAGCTATGATATTGTTAAACTGATTCGTGAAACGTTTGCCCTAAAATATCAAAAAATAACTGCTACGTACAACAACTCGCTTCTTTATCATTCATATTTTCTATCATAGCTTCTCCAATGAATTAAATAAAATATACATATAATACCAAAGGTTAAAATTATAAAAGGGCTGATTTAGAAACAGAAGATTAAATTACGAATCATGAAAATGTTTTGAAGCGAGACGACATTCGGAGAGCACGTCTTACCTTAGTCGACAAAACTGGCATTGTTTTCCCCAAAAACCAGGATCACAAGAACATCCCTTCGAACTATCACATGATGGAGGCTTAGAATAACTACTATGTACAAAAACTAGGGTATTTAAGGTGAATATAAAAGAGAAAATGGCCAAGAAACTGAGATTTAGCATAGCGACATCTTGTTGTATAAGAAAAAATGTTAATGATAATAGAACTGATCTACTAGGCCTACTCGGTTGATATTTCGCCAAAGGCAACCCAAACTCATTTTACTAGTTTCGTACTCTGATTCTCACTAGTGGATAGATGAAATTTTGCATGGTTAATGGTCCATATTGATTGACCTGGGGGCTGTAATAAACGCAGGGACATAGGAGCGGGTTAGTTCGTTCAGGTCCCGCTACAAGCAAACTTTTCACAGGCTTCCCACATAAGAATTAAGCCTACTTTTCACAGGCTTCCCACACAAGAATTAAGTTTCACCAATGTTTATTAGCGCAGGCAAACTAATCCTGATACATTTGAATATAGGATCTCCTAGGTAAAAGTCAAATATGCCTGGTTCTATTCAACAAAGCCCATGTCAAAAGACGGTAGCACCTGATGTCGACTCCAGGGGCCGCTTCGCAACGCTTCTTTTACGACGATAAAGCCTGATATTTTCACTTTCTATGTAATCGGAGCCGGAAGCTGATTATGAGGAAGTGAAAACCAAAAAACAGAATCGAAACTGTAGTTGGAAGCACGTCAGAGACGAAATCGAAAGGATCGCAATGTTGTTTTTTTGTTGTTGTTGTTGTTGTTGTTGTTTGTTCTGTTTTGTTTGGCCTGTGCTTGCACGACGAGCTTGCAATGAGGGTTCTGTCGGTCCTGGAGGGGTAAAATGGGAGCTGGGATACGCCTTTTTGGGCTGGTAAAGTCAGATATTATGCACGGGAATGCGGATACGCATAAAAAAATTTAAAAAATCAATAAGTGGACTGAGATTTGAGCAAAACATAGACTGGGACTATGGGATTTGGTCAAAAGGGGGGGGGGGAGGGGAAATGGGATTACGACCCCGCCCCTCCGGAACCCTCTCCAATAAGTCAAGCTTGAACTGGGGTTCTCTCCCCAGTATCCGAGCCAGAACTCAACCATTCCTTTTTTTTGTCTTTTATTCGTCCTTTAAGAATGATGTTTTTACATGTAAATTCACGCATGTAATTCAAACCATGTATACAAAAATAAATAGGCTTAAACTAGAGCTACTTTATCATTAATTTTTTAAGGAAAACTATAAAAAAAATATGAATACCCAATACATTCTGGATCAAGCACTGTAATTTATGTACAAAAATATCAATTATGCTTTTGCTTTCGGAGATATATATATATATATATAAGAAAGCCGCGCCACAGAATTCTTTTTCAAAATATATTGTTGATTCTTAAAATAGCAGATATTTATTATAAATTAATTTGTAATCGGAACACTTTAAATATTAATTGTTATACGGGTAACTGGTAATCTATCTATCTTCCTTCCTTCCTTCCTTCCTTTCTTTCTTTCTTCCTTCCTTCCTTCCTTCCTT